TATAAAATAATACATTAAAAACGTAATAATTCAATAAAAAATAAATTTTAAAAAAGTTATTTAAAAAAATTAATAATCCAAGAAAGAAAGAAAGAGGCGGAGTTTGGTGCATAATTGTCTTTCCAGCTCATTCAGCTAGAAAGATATGATTTTGGGGTTTTCTGGGAAAGACATATTATTGGGAAATACCCATTTTTTGTGCAAGTCAAACAGTCTTTCCGGTTCATTCAACTAGAAAGATCTGTTTGAACTTGGAAAGATGCGTATCAAACGAGGTCTTAGTGGTTAAAATATAAAAAATGTTTTGGTTGTTAAACACGAAAAACAAACTATAATGGTTTTTGTGGAATTTGAAATCATTTTATTTATTAACCAGAAAAATGATTTTGTATGGTAGTGTCGTAGTGAACTATTATTTTTGTATATATTTATTCAATTTTTTTTATACGATTTAACATTAAATTGGCCCAAGCTGTTCAAAACCTATCATTTTGATATGTTATTGCATGTTAATATTTTTATATACGATTACCATTAATTTTTTTTCTAAACGACTTACATTTAAACTATATCACAATCATATTTTTTGGTCAAGACCATCCACTCCCACCATCATTGCCGATCACCCACCAACATCATCCATCTCCAACAATAAACACCATTATCTATCACCACCATTCAAACCACAACAAATATGAATTTAATGATAAATCATATAAAAAAGACTAAATATGAACAAAAGTTATTATTTGTGACCATATAAAGTTATTTTTCCTTTATTAACCGTAGCTATAAATACATATATAAAGATAATAAGATAACAATGGTTTGAATTTAAACTGATAAATCATGTTACACGTACGGATAAGGGACAACGCTATGTGCTTATCTCTCGTTTCCTTCAATTAATGTATCAAATATGATTTTAACAAATAATATTATCAAAAGAACAAGACATAGTTTATTAGTAAAACAACTAACTTGTTCGACCATATATATTGTTTTGGGTAATTTTATTTATCTTATTTATTTAATCTGTTAGATAAAAAACCCAAAATACTTAATTTTTAAATAGATTATCCAAATTACTAGGTGTAACAAAACGTAACATGTTTACTCACTTGACTTTAGTTGTGGAGGGATGGGGAAGGGGACAAGATGGTGATGCCGTTACGCGTTTTATGCAGTGTGCTAAATAAGGAAAGTGAGGTTGAAAATGAAAATGGACCCTTTGCCCACGCGTATTTCCTATGTGGACCATGTTGCCATCGGTTCTTGTTCTTAGCCAAATTAAAACCATTTATTACACACACAAACCATAAACTAAAATATACATGTTACAATAACAAGTATTTAACGAAACCATGATGGATGTTTCCTTTGTGCCGATGATTTTTATGCACAAAAACGACATGTCCCATTTAGAAAATGTCTGGATTTAGACCAAACGTGGTCATTTATGATGCTCTACAAGTTCCATTATATTGGTGGCAAAATATGTGGAACATGCAAGCTGAGCTGTATGTGTTTAATATAATCAATAAGTGGTACTCCATGTCATGTGTGTCGTAACTAACTCTGAGCTTCGATCGAGGAAAATTGTGAACGATTCAATGCTTCTACATTCATTCGATCCATCATCTCATCGCTATCTTACCCGTTAACAATAAATGAATGCACCCAACGTATATTGTGCAGTGTCAACTGTCTCGCCAAAAAAACATGCACCTCATGTCCTAACCGTTGATATTGTTCAATTCTTTTATGTTTTCTAATTCGATTGTTATTTGTTACTTCTATGTTGTTGTTGGTTAATGTTTTTTTTGAAACAACAAATAAAATTATATATAAAAATAAAAGCCCACATTAGCAAGAAGCTAAGACCAAGGCAACACACATACAATTATATTAGAAGATGAATAAAAGGGATCAACTTCAATCTATCCAACTACCACAACCAAGGTTACACCTATATTTGCACCTCACATATGAGAGGGAGATGACATTATCTATGATCTTGGTTGGGGAGACCCCTATCTTGAAGTATCTTCTTATGAATCTTGTTTTCTTGTAGTTGTTCATATAGTCTAAATGGTACAAAAAAGATAATATCGGTTAATAGTTAGCTAATAGTTAGTTACTTATTGTTTATTGTTAGGGATGATGTCAAAAAAAGCCTTAAGTTTGGCAGAAAATGTCGGTTTTACCCTCCGTCAAATTTTTGGTTCGTTTATGCTGCAAACTTGTCATTTTTTTTTGTCGGTTTTGCCCTTTTTACCTGTAATAGCAGGTTTCCAGGTTACCATGAATTATTTTTTGCAAAAAAACCATTAAGTTTACAAATATTTTGCAAAAAAACCCTTAAGATTATAAACATATAAAATATAAATATATATTCAAAATTTGATAAAACTAAATAGTTTTTTAAAATTTAAATGTCAAAAGTTTATATTAATATTTTAAAAAACTTACCTAGTTTTATCAAAATTTGAATACATTCCTTAGTTAATACTTCAAAATTTCAAAGCAAAATTAAAAAATGTCCGTTAGTTAATAATTAATTATGCTAAAATAGCTAAACATATGAATAATATGACATTAATTACATTCAATTAATTTTTTTAAAAAGGAAAATGAAAATATTTATATGTTTAAAAGGTTTGTATTTCAAAAATAATAATATATCTTATTTTTTATATGTTTAAATAAATAATAATATTATCATAATTTTTATAAAATAGCATAAACATTTTAAACATAAAAAATAAACATAAACATTTTAAACATATAAAATATAAATATATTTGTCTAATTTTTTATATAAATATATTTATTTTTATAAAAAAATATGATATGTTATTATTTCTGAAATACAAACCTTTTAAACATATAAAATATTTTTATTTTCCTTTTAAAAAAATTAATTGAATGTAATTAATGTCATATTATTTATATGTTTAACTATTTTAGCATAATTAATTATTAATTAACAGACGTTTTTCAATTTTGCTTTGAAAAGTTTAAGTACTTTTGACATTTAAATTTTAAAAAATTATTTAGTTTTATCAAATTTTGAATATATATTTATATTTTATATTTGTATAATCTTAAGGGGTTTTTTGCAAAATATTTGTAAACTTAAGGGTTTTTTCGTAAAAAATAATTCATGGTAACCTAGAAACCTGTTATTACAGGTAAAAAGGGCAAAACCGACAAAAAATTAACAAGTTTACGGTATAAACAAACCAAAAATCTGTCGAAGGGTAAAACCGACATTTTCTGCCAAACTAAGGCTTTTTATGACATTATCCCTTATTGTTAATTGCAAGGTATCCGTTAAAAATTAGTGATGTTTTGTTGAAATTTGAGATGTTAATACGAAGAAGGTGTATATTATTTTCTGGGTCTTTATTAAGTTCGCTTTCGTCTCAATGACAAAGAATAAAAGGGATAGAATAAGACAGAAAAAGGAAATCCATTTATGATTAAGTCATAAATGGTTGATGGTACCCTAACGAGTGTTGGTCCTGGAAACGAAATCTGCAACAACAAAATTGAAATAGGGACTATAATTGTAACAATGAAACATTTAGGCTAAATATGCAAGTTTGAAGAGACTACTATCTCACGAGCAAAAGAAATTGAAAGGAATACGTATTAATCTCATCAAATTTTAGATATATATTTTGTTCTTGGTCGATAAAATCTCCTCCAATTTTAACAACATTTGTAAGACGGTTTTGTTATGTGTAAAGCTTTTCAATTTCTGCATTTGCACCTCGAATCCACTTCTAAACATCTTTTAGTTTTTTTTTTTCTGAGTTTCAACCATTTTTTTTTCATTCACTTATGTTGCTACTTGAAAGTCTTAACGATGATTAAGTATACGGCTCATTTCTGAGTCCCTTGACTTCTTCAACTTCCGTCATCACTTCGAAAATGTGATCACACATCTTATATGACAATGGAATATCCGAACCTTCAAGAAATATGTTAATATCAAAACAAACATAAGAATCATCTTCTCACAATGCCAAATATCAATTTCAGATGAACTAATTCTAAAGTAATTACTTCGATCATGTGGTTGGTTTGAAGTAAATTGGTAGGTGGTTAGTTGAATGTGGTAAACTGGTAGACAGTAAAGTTAAGATGATAGGCGTGTGTCTGAAATGTAATTATACAATCTAAAATATATGTCCGAAATGTATAGTTTCTATATTTTTTTCTCCTATAAAAAAAGACTTAGGATTCTAATATTTTTGTACACCTATTCAACAATTATTCAACTCAAAACAATGGTAATGTACATCTTACATGGACTATGAAGGAGGAGATTGCAGTCGTACGTTCTTGCAATATGATTACGAATGATAGTATCGTCATCAGTCCCACACATTTGCTAGTAGGATCACTTTGGATCCGACTTACACATACATTTCACTATGAATTGGGTCGTAGAGCCTATCGAACAATATTACGAGGGTGATGTCCAAAATTTGTGTTTGTAATGTACTAAGATAGATTGGAATGTACATAGCGAACCCGAAATGTTAGAATTTGTGTTTGTAATGTACTAAGACAAACTTAAATGTACATAACAAGCTCGAAATATTGAAATCCGTTCCAAAATATAAGTATGACATGTATGTTATTAGTACGGTGTTGACTAAGTAAGTCTAAAATTGACTATGTGAATGTATTTTGTTAGAGAAACAACTTTAATTAGAAGTTATTGAACCGACACCAATTTCGGAACGAACCTAATTGCTCTTAAATATGGTGTTCCAAAATAAGTGGTTATTTTAAAAAAAAAAAAAAACCAGAAAAAAAATATTTTTTGTAATGAAATCATTTATACGTGTTAGATTAATTTATTTCCCTTATTATTTTTACAAGATTAAACCGGAGGCTTAAACTTGATGTAAAGTGAAGGGAGCTTTTTCAAACATCTCAAACATAAGGGTGTTTTCCGACTTTAAGTAAAAGTTGGAGGCATGAATAAACTCGGCACCTGAAAACCAGTCATAGAGACCCTCGCAGACGAAAGAAAAATGTCGAACATTCGAGTTTTGAAAGAGTGGTTCGAACGAGTTGACTCAGAAAAAACAGGGAACATTACAACAATCCAACTCCAGGTTCTTCGCTTCTAACCCTTTTAATTCTAAGCTGCTTTGATCCCCAAATTTTGAATTTTCTCGATGAAAATTGACGAAATTTATATCGTCAGAGTGCTCTTGCTGTTGGCAATCTACAATTTCCGATCACCGTTGTTCAACAAATGATCAGGTTGGCATAATATGCTGCTTCAACATCATCAACTGTTCAGATTTCTTTCAATTTCTGTTTTGTTCTTTTATTCTGAGTAATTTGATGTCAAATTCATGAGAAACTGAAATTTTCGACCAAAGAAGTCAAACCAAAAATACGGGTACTTTAAAAAGCTTAATTTTGTAAAGCATAGCCTATTTATGATCTTTAGAATCTTCAAATTGTCTTACTTATAAAGTAGCAAGTAGCAACTATGATCATGAAATGTCGTAATGCACCTTTTCCCCTTTACACAATGTAAAGGGCTTTATATTTCATGTTTATAATGTGCTTATGGAGGTTTTGTTTTTGCTTTCTTCTATCTTCTACAGGATGTATGATTTTGACAGAAATGGAACCATGAGTTTTGAAGGTAAACCTCATATTTTCGATACTTAATGCAAGCTTAATGTGTTAAATCTACTGAACATTTGAATTTGACTTAGTTTCTTTTCCTCTTCTCAGAGTTTGTGGCTCTTAATAAGTTTCTTTTAAAGGTTAGAACTTTTCTATGTGCTTCCAAAAAGATTATGCTCTATGACTTTTGAGGTCAATTACGCAAACTTTTCAACTTAAAAACGACCAAATCTTTTCCAAACAATCCACCTACATACAAAAAGAATCAAATAAAGCACTTCGAATTGGTAAAAAATAATAAAAATTTTAACTTTTTCCAATATCTTTACAGGTTCAACAAGCTTTCTCAGACTTAGAGAGGTAAGCGACATTCATTTATCTCAATTTAATAAATGGAATCACTTAATAATGTTTTTGGTCAAACAGGGGTCGTGGGTTTCTTGTTCCTGATGAAGTCTATGAAGTAAGTAACATCATTGTGGGCCCCTATATTTCCTCTATTACCCTTGTTTAATACGTATAGGCTTTTTACTCTGTGAATTCAATAATAGGCTTTGCTGAAAATGGACATCTCTCTTGATTCTCCAGCATTTTACACTGTTTGTGAGGTATGAATTATGTATATGCAATTATTTATTTAATCAGTCATGTTACATATTATAAACCTAAGGTCAAAATTATACTTCACTTTATGGAAATTGCACCAATTTACGTTTTGGATGTAGAGCTTTGATAAAGAAAAAAATGGAAGATTTCGGCTGGATGATGTCATGTCGCTTTGTATATTTGTTCAATCTGCTAGGTAATTAAGCAAAATCATTTACCTTTCAATTCATACAAATTGTTCTTACATAAAGATCATCATGGGCGTTTGTGTAATTTTGGTGTTATGTTTTGTAGGAATCTTTTTAATTCTTTTGACACGAGTAAACAGGGGAGGGTGACTCTTGATCTTAATCAATTCATATTTTGTAGTGAGTCTACCTTCGTTTAGTATATTCTAATGTTTATGGCTTATATATATTATAATGACCTTTAAGCTTGTTTTTTTTTGAATTATTTGCAGCTGCGAATTGTAGAATATGAAGCCTATGTAATATCCCATGTGGAAAATAACTATTTACTTTCAACAAATGCGATTGGGTTTCTATAATTGGTGTTAATATCTGTGTATTTATTGGGATCCATGTATTAACATTGTTGTGAGGGGTTATTATAAAGTAGTTTGGAATAGGGTTTTAGCTTTTGATTTAATGAGTGCAACAAACAAGAATCACAATACTTTTTAATTTATGTAAAATGGTTATTCTTTAAGAAGGCCCATTTCGTCTTGTACTAGAAGTAAAATATGATATGTAAATTAGGTGATTGATAGTGTTTGTATTTCATGTCCAAAAATGGTGTTTTTGGAAGTTGAAGGTTATGTTTTTCATAACTTTTACTTTGTAAATATAGACTCCTTGAAGAAAATTGTGATTCGCGCTGAAGTATAGAGGATTCCTGAAAGATTATTACTTGTTGGAATTTCTAATCTTGAATTTTTATGTCCCTAAGGTATATGGTTATTCTCTTTATCAACAATTTTTCATCATTTGAATACCTAAACTAGTATTTATTGCCATGAATGATATGTAGGAATTAAATCACTTAATTTCCTTGAGAAAGATCTTAATACAGGAATTAAATCACTTATTCAAGAAAGATTGAAAATACTTGCAAAACTTAACTTAGAAAACGTAATAAATAAGCACCCTATTTGAAAAACTGATGCTATTTTGGTAAACTGTAAGTAGTAATTACCTATTTTGTTCTCATGTGGATGCTTTTTGGATTTAGATCTTTGTAATACCCACTTTTCATGTTGCTAGTGAATATATTTGTGGTTCTTCAGTTTTGTTCTTATTTTGCTATAAATATTATGGGCATACAACAAATTTTTCGGTTTGGTTTTGGTTTAGAACTGAAAGCAAAACATAATAATTCGGTTTTTAGCTATAATCTGTATGTAACTTTTATTTGTGTACAAGTGTTTGACAAAAGTAGTTGTAAGCTTTTAATTTGTTTAAAATTATACAAAATAACATTTGAATAAAAGTTCAAAATTGAAACATAAAAGTTAATTTGCAGAGATTGTAAACATGAAATTTCTCGCTTTTTTTTTTTCTCAATTTTCAATTTCATTTTGTGTCATAAAGATAAATATGTAACGATGATAAAAGAATTATGAAGTTTCAAAAACACCATAAAAAAATAAATTTTTGGAAGAAGCGTGTCTAAAACATGAATTTTATGTTACATGATTCTAAGATGGCCATACTTGTCATCTAGACATTCCTTCAGGTATTATTGCATTAATATTCTTTTTAAGAATTCATATCCATTTCACATAGTTCTAAGGATTGCTCATATTCCATTATAAAGTTCAAATCCATAACATTTATGCCAAGAAGAATGTTGTCATTTATAAAAAAGGTAATCATCTCTATTCACATATTAAACATACATTTTCCAGATTCTATTGACCCTAAGTGAGTTTCATCTTACTATTCCTATAATTAAGCTCAATTCAAGTTAATTCATGTTAGTTTTGATTATACAAATTTCCTTCTTCATATCAAACATATTTTCAAACATGCGATATTAATCAAATCAAGTAAAATTTTAACCCAATTAAAGCTATATTATCATATCTTACCCTCAATCGAAGCCTTTGATGGTAAAAAATGTTGTTGAAATGAGTAAGAATCTTCATTCTCGAGCTCGTAAATTACCAAGGATCATCCACAAAAGCCTTTCCCATGTCCTGTCCTGGATAATTCAATGGGCTTACATGGTCTGAGCCCAATTCCTTCTTAGGCCTGCTTGAGCCGTACCAAACATGTTAAAGAAGTTTATTATAAACTTATGTATTGTCGTTTATCTGAAATTCATACGCATTCAAACTTTCAAAAATTTAAATATTCAAATACTTATTTTTTTTTAGGATATATTAAGTTTTTAAAGAAATTTATTAGTAATTTAGGGTACCCGATTAATCCCGCCTATACCGATTAATCTCTTAACCCTAGTCAACCATTGAGGTCCCTCAGAGCTTTTTTTACAGACTTGGCCAAAAGTAAGCAGTTAAAGGCATAGGGTACCCGTTCAGTTGTTTTGGTAATCACCTTGGTTGTCAATGTCTGCATTCAAATAAATACAGGAGTTCTATATTATCATGTAGAGGAGGCTTCATCCTTTCAGGCTTATATTGAGATAAAAATGTCGCTCTATGAGCAAGTCATGATAGCACTTATTTTCGTGGGTTTCTTACTCGTGTTGCTGTTAATATATGTATGTTCATCTTTAGCAATTTTAGAGTCCAAAAAGATTCTTGAATCGAAATACCAAGATGCTCATGATACAGCTTTTAAGAATGAAGGGACACAACAACCAGGAAGATTAACTATTGAGAAGTTAAAGCAACATGTGAGAAACTACGGGATCATGGCAGGAACTGGAAGCCCCCAATTCATGACAGCTTGCTCGGCTACAACCTCTGCTTCTGGGGTAATATGTGCTTTACGCACTCTCTTTCACTGTTTCTATGTTAGTGGTTTTCCTAATACAATTTATCGAAGTCATATTTTAAAAGGAATTTTAAAATCTGTGAACCACTTGATCCAAAAGGCTGAAAAAAAACAACCCAAGAATCTTATGAAGCTTCTAGCACAATCGAGTGGTTTTGAAGGAGTTGAAAAGTTTGACAACCATAATGTTCAGCCTTTACTTAATGAAGAATATCTCAATTGTTGGAGCTTACCATTGATAACTCTTCCTAACATCCAAAACAATAGAGTGGATTGCTTGCTGAGTAGTGTGAGTGAAGGTCTTGTATATGCCAGACTTGTGGATGAAAGCATGAATGCTATCGACATATGCACTCAAACGGCAGCTAAAACTTTGTGGCTAGAAGTTGAAGTGGTGTGCTTACTTAAATCATCCTTTTCCGTAAATTAAAACCATTTGTGTTCTTCATGTAACTTAGGTAATTTTATAAATAATTGTAACTTAAGTAATTGGTATTTCTTAACCAGTATCTTATGTCACAATTATTTTCTTTCCAATGTTTCTTAATGAGGCATTTAATTTCCTTGGATGCTGGTTTTAACTTTTAAGACTTCATATTGATCATGTGATTCCAATTATGTTTTTTTTGGAAACGGAAAATATATATATTAATAACGCCATACGATTAGCAAGTAACTAAATCGCGGGCAATAGAAAAACAAGTACAGGAAAGGAAATAGATAAGGTTGCGTTTAGTTACGGAAAAACAGTTTTCATTTTCCGTTTTTTATTTTCCCTTTTCAGTTTTCGTTTTTTGTTTTCAGTTTTCATTGAAAAATTTAGAAAACGTGTTTAGTTAAAACTTATTCATTTTTCATTTTCAGTTTTAGAAAATTAGAAAAACGTGTTTAGATGTGTATATTTCTATCGTTTTCATTTTTAGAAAACGGTAGCGGTGGTAGGGTGGGGTAGTGGTGGCGGTGGTGGTGTCAATGATGGCGACGGTGGTGGTGGTGGTGGCGGTGGTGATGTTGGGGATGGGGTGGCGGTGGTGATGTTGGGGATGGGGTAGTGGT